ACTAAACAATGGTCTTGGACCACTAATCTTACATTAATGACAGGCTTTAAAGTACAAGCAGAGCTGTATTTAATATTTTAAAACTACTTTTGTAATTACTAATATACTTAAATACAATGAATTTTAAATGTTAAAAAAGCCAGTATGGTAGATTTACAAGGTCTGAAGCCTTACGTGGCAATTTAAATAATATTTTAAAACTTTTAGTGTCTTTCTCACTTGGTTTTTACTCGTTTCCCTCCTCTGCCTTTGCCGACGGCTCGATGGCTGATGCAGAGGCAGGAGGGTAGGTCAGCCTGAGCTACTCGTTACGTTTGCAGTCACCATCCAGAAACAACGGGGAAAAGAAGTTTCAGCATTTTTATCACCAAAGGTAAGTCAGCTGTTGACATTTCCACCACATGTTGCCATCAAGACAAATGTTAATTCATACAAAGACATCAGAAGGTTTAAGTAAACAGGTTAATAAATCATGTAAAATCTACTGAACACACTTTATTTAATAGTTTGTAGAAGTCTTTGTTGGTGATCACAGCTTCTAGACGCTCAGGAGCGATCTTTAACTCCTGAAGGTTCCTCGGGCCTTTTATGGACTCTGATCTTCAGCTCTCTCCATAGATGCTGTGTGGGATTATGGTCAGGTGATCAGGTGACTGACTGGGTCATTCAAGCAACCAGTTTGTTGTTTCCTTAGCCAACAATACTATGGCGCGGTCTATGGCGCGGTATGGGGGTCAAAATTAAGGCTACTGCCCAGCAGCAGGAGGCTATATAAATTCCGAAGCAAACTACCGACCTGATTAATGATAAGCTGGCGCCAGTAACTGAGAGGCTGGCGCTGCTGACTGAGGAATAGCACCTTTACCGGCGTTACTACTAGATACGCTAGGGACTAGCAGCCCTCGGCTGGTCATTGACTGGTTCAAACACTACCTCTGCTGTCTATTAGCATGGATAGGCTAGCGTTAGCCTGGACGGGCTGGTGCTAGCATTGGAGAGGCTAGCCATTAGCATGCCTAGGCTGGCCACTAGCTGGATTTCTTACCCCCTCGATGGACCTTTAGCATGGATAGGCTGGCGTTAGCTTCGGAGAGGCTAGCCATTAGCATGCCTAGGCTGGCCACTAGCTGGATTTCCTACCCCCTCGATGGGCCTTTAGCATGGATAGGCTGGCGTTAGCTTCGGAGAGGCTAGCCATTAGCATGTCTCGGAGAGTCACTTACTCTATTAGATGTGTGGTTTTTTTGTACATATTATATAGTTTTAATAAAGATAACATCACAATTTAAATAATCATTAACCTGTAATTCAATACAAAGGATTTAAAATCCAAAGATGAAAAGTACTAACTAGTTAGCTCTGGCTTTTTCTCTGATATGTGCAAGAAAACCAAACTATATAAAAAGAAAACACCATCAACCTGTAATTAAGAGCAAAATGGAGTTAACGCAGCACCTAATCAATGCTAACAGGCTGTCGGCTTTACAGTATGCTTAAAGTTAAAGTGTATAACAACGCGTTCTGTCAAAGGAACAACTGTGATTGTAGGTCATAGTATGTCATCCGTTTAACAAATGTAAAAAAATGCATCTAGTAGAGTAAGTGACTCTCCGAGACATGCTAATGGCTAGCCTCTCCGATGCTAACGCCAGCCTATCCATGCTAATGGTCCATCGAGGAGGTAGGAAATCCAGCTAGTGGCCAGCCTAGGCACGCTAATGGCTAGCCTCTCCGATGCTAACGCCAGCCTATCCATGCTAATGGTCCATCGAGGAGGTAGGAAATCCAGCTAGTGGCCAGCCTAGGCACGCTAATGGCTAGCCTCTCCAATGCTAGCACCAGCCCGTCCAGGTTAACGCTAGCCTATCCATGCTAATAGACAGCAGAGGGAGTGTGTGAACCAGTCAATGACCAGCCGAGGGCTGCTAGTCCCTAGCGTATCTAGTAGTAACGCCGGTAAAGGTGCTACTCCTCAGTAAACAGCGCCAGCCTCTCAGTTACCGGCGCCAGCTTATCATTAATCAGGTCGGTAGTTTGCTTCAGAACTTATATAGCCTCCTGCTGCTGGGCAGTAGGCTTAATTTTGGCCCCCATACCGCGCCATACATGCGCCATACAATACATCCTGTAATAATTCTCCTCCTAGATAGGTGAGCTGGAAAATACCCTGAGTGATAAAAAGGCTGACGTGTCAATCCCCCGCTGTATGTGCACAGTCACATAGAGCCTGAAAATGGTGTTTGTTTAGTTTGTTCCCAAAAGGAGACAACAGCCGAGGCAGGTGACGATGCAGACACCTTCATCAGTCTACGATTAGTTTACTCAGGAAACTGCTGGTCAGTGACTGACATCTGCAGCAGCAGCTAAAATCAGGGCAGAGCCTTTTGCACAACAGGACATACAAGCGTGTGTCATTATTACATTCTCACTCCATAAATGCACCAAGAAAACATTGGGGTGCAACAAGGCCGTGCTTTCCGTTGGTTTTGTGCTCACAACTGTAAATTTAGCTGAGTCTTCTAGAGATGTTAAAATTATTTCAGCACATTGAACGTGGCTGTAAGCGCACAGGACGTTTAAATGAACATAAAAGAAGAAGTTTTCTTTTTTATGTACTCAGGTAAACTGGCTTTATCCTGCAGTAGTGAGAGTGAAGGTAAACAAAACCAAAATGCGATGGCATTGATGTTTAATGAAGTAAAAAGGAGGATCCTGGTGGGTGTTTGTTTTGAAAATCCAGAATGATGAATTATCTTTAATAGAAGCACATTTAACAGATAGTCGTGTTTACGTCGCACGTGGGCTGGTGTGGAAATGATACATTATAAAATCTGTCGTCATGTCTCCTCCTCATCGCCAAAGAACAACCAGAGTAAATCCCACCTGCACACTGTGAGCAGATTCCTCCTCTCCACCGCGGCGCTCCTGCCCGATCCCCGCTTGTGGCTGAGGTGCTGCCCCACGCTCAGCGACGCCATCCCGGGCTCGACTCTGTGTGCTGACCCGCTCTGCTCCCTCAGCACCAGGGCAGGACCGCGGGGGTCGTCACGGTCCGGAGGAGGCAGAAAAAGATGCTGCTCTAGAGGAGGAGGAGGAGGAGGAGGCAGCGATAAGAGAAGTGATACGGTATGAACTTCCTGTTGGGGCTTTCAAAATAAGAGCTTAAATAAATGAATTCAAATTACAAATGTTTATCTAGTTTTCCTCCCTTTCTTATAATATATAATATAGTATAATATAATATAATATAATATATTATAATATATTATAATATAATATGTTGAGCCTTGTGAAAAGAAATCATAAGTTTAAAAGGTGAAAAAAAATTAAATATTAACAAAAGAATATTATATAAAAGAAACAAGCAAAAAGTTACCAGCCCACTTCAAGGTTACAAAACTGTTTTTTTTATTTAGATATTTTCTCTGTTTTATTTATTTATTTTTATTTTGGGGTTTTTTCAGTGCTTTTCCGAAACTCGGTAATTTCCCCTCTTTTTATTTTATTTTTTTAGAAGAGCACACATGTTTGGCAGCTTGTCTGTGACACAGCACCACCTAGTGGTCCGATAAAGATCTGAGTTGTGTCCTGATGTTGGTGCTGATTCTCAGTAAGCAGGAATTTTATTCCTGCAAATAAATAAATAATGTAATAAAGAATACATAATACTTCTTTTTTAATTTATTCTGTTGCTTTTCCCAATCCCATTTTTTAGCTCTTATGTGTACACAGAGTAGTAAAAGCTTTGTTTTTTACATTTTTGAACTGGCACACACAGCTTATAATGTTTTTTGTCCTTACAGAGAAATTAAAACGATTAAAACACAGACTTTAAACCAGCTAGAACTGATTTTTAATACCCGCCAAAATTTCACAACATTATTTATCGTGGGACTCCTGCTGGGTCATCTGCCAGCTCCACAGACTGAAGAGTCTTTTAAACACTTACAAATCTTTTCATTCTCAAAGCTTTTCCTTTCCATTATCCCTTTACATACAGTACCGTCACTGTCATTTTAATTAGATTTTAATGTGTTTTTCATTGTGTTTTATTGTGTGTGAGGTGTTTTTAACCTCCATATGTAACACTTGCATTATTGGGTCTTTTTTAAAACACAGAAAAGGTTTCTTTTATTTACCTTGCTGACGGTTTTGTTTACCGGCTGTAAACTTCCTTAGAGCCAAGGAAGTGACGTCACCATCAGCATCAGCTCTGAGGAAGTTTACAGCCGGTAAACAAAACCGTCAGCAAGGTAAATAAAAGAAACCTTTTCTGTGTTTTAAAAAAGAACCAAAAATGCAGTTTGAAACTAAACACAGCAAGAACAATCCAAAGATGTACCACTTGGAGATCTGCTCGACAAATGTAAGGTGCTTTATACATTAAACATATTATTATTGTTGTTGTTGTTGTTATTATTATTATTATTATATTCATATAAACTCTAAGCATAACCCACATTTAGCTAGAGGTTTGCATGAACTAAAGGGTGACTGAGCTGCAATAGTGTAAATGTAACTCACAAGCGTGTGAGAAGTGGGGGTACTGCACTGCTGGGGGAGAGTTAGCACAGACTCACTGAAAGCAAAGAGAGAACGTGAGTCGCTCTGTTGGTTGAATGTCTGGATGTTTTCCTGCTGAGGTGAGACCTGCTGGGATTTAACTAAAGGAGTTACAATTCACAAAGGTTTGAGCCTGATTTCCTGTCTAGGAGGGGAATAATTACAAGATGCATTGTTGGCTGATTTAAACATTTTAAGATATTTTTACGTTTGTTATTTTATTTTCTAATTCATCTGAACCATAAACCACATCTCCAGCTTTTTCAGTGGGTCTTGCTCATTTTATCAGGAATTCAATTGAATTACTTGGATTTGTTTGTTCTCCCAGCAAATTTTTGACTTAACTAAATAAAATCAAAGAAAAGTCTCATAAATATGAAGCTTGTTGTCTAAACTGTGACCCGCAGGTCAAACCTGATTAAGTTTATTTTATTAAGAAGGAAGAGTCGCGTTTTTGTCTGAGTATTGCAGTCCCGTTATCTTGTTAGCCTGTTTCACGCGGTTTAAAAGTGCTTTAAACCTGATTCTTTGCACATGAAGATCCAGAGGCGGTTTTACCATTAGGCATAGGTCGGCGGCCGCCTGGGGCCCCCTTGTGTTGGGGGGCCTCCTAGCCCTGACCGCCAGCACCCCTCTGTTAATGCCACAATATTCTTATTACCAACCTGTTGCCGCAGACGGGATTGGACATGCTTCTCATTACTATAATTCCTGACCCGTTCAAGATATCATTAAAATTCCAAAAGTGCTGAAAAGACTAAAAACGGGGCTTTTCCTGCATTTATAACACTTTACGGTAGCCACCGGGATTCCCTGTCTTGAGTGCAACGAATCACAACACAGATTCAGAGACGTGCTGAGTTTGCCATCCAAAATGCTCCGTTTTATCACTTTTGAATGGCTGATCAGATCCAGGAAATTCCAACGGTTCCTAAAAGTACATAAAAGCAGCTTTCCAACGATCTATAGCATGAAGCAATCAGAGTTAGGGAAAATATCGCTACGAGGGGAAATCCTGCTGGACAGCCTGATTGAAACGGAGCGCAGCGCCGCGGTGAAAGCGGATAACGGAACGGGGAAGCTAATTAGCATAAAAACCAGCATGAAATTATGGAAATGCCTCAAAGAAAATCAACACGATCTGTCAGGTGTCCCAGAAGGCTTATATCTGAAGACAGTGACCACGAAGAAGGACAGATCTCCAGTGAACCAGGGTATGAATGTTTGTTCAGTCTTTATTTTTTTATTTGAACAACCCTCAACTATTTGCTAATTGTAAGATTCAGCTTCATTCCAGCATTATTTATTTTTTTACCATAAATAATTATTTTTGCTAAAACAAACGTTTTTGGTATAGCAGCACGGTGTGCCAGAGAAGCCCCCCATGGCGGTGTGAGGTGTGCAGGACTCTGCCTGCAGCTGGAGAGAAACTGCTTCAAGGTCTACCACATCAAATAAAATCGTCTGAAAGTTTACAAAAATAAATGGTCTTAAAAACAGCCAAAAACTGATACCAAGGTTCACACTTTTTCAATAATAGATGCATAACAGTTCAATGTTTAAATTGTTTGCCCAGTAATTTAGAAGTTCCTGTTCAGTAATAAATGTAAAAAATTCAAATCCGTTTTTTGCTTTTTTCCACTTTTAAGCTGTTTTTTAAAGGCTTTAATAGAAATAAATTCTAAATACAAACCATACACTGAAAGCTGAGGTTGTTCTGAAAGATTTACACACACACTTTGCACTTTTTATTACAATTTTACAGCCATAAGATTAAAAACATACCAGTCGGCCCTCTTATAATTATGGTCGTAAGAGGGTTATTAAGACGGCGATGCACAAACTGGAAGTGGTTGGTAGTCATTCCACTCCAATCCAGTTGGTGGCGGTAATGTACCAAATTGTTGTTTGCCAAGTGCCATGAGACCACAAACAAGAAGGAGAAGAGAGGCGGGAGCGTTCGTAACAAACTCAAAGGATAGTTAAACCATTAAGCATGACATGGAGTTATCCTAGTGGCTCCAATAAGGGAAAGAAGTGGCTCGCTTCATAAAAGCTTTTATTTTCACTTCTGAAAGTGACATCGTTTTTCGATGTAAACATCAAAAGGAAGCAGAAAGGAAAGACAATGGAAAATGTTTAAAGGGAGGAAAACATAGACCAAAATGGAAAATAGAAAAAAAAAATAGCTAAGGCAAAGCACAGGAGCACTGACAGGAAGAAGAAAGCAGAGCAATTATTGAAAGCGTTCAAAAGGAGGGAAAAACAGGAAAAAGGAGGACTAATAAAAAGGGAAAATAACTCGTGTCAGAAGAGGGGAGAGTTTCGCAAATCCAGTTAAAGTTAAGATTGTAGAAAATTTAGTGTAAGGGGCCCCTTGTCTGTGTTCGCCTTGGGCCCCCAAATTGCTAAATCCGCCCCTGTAAAGAACAAGGAAACAAAAGCAGAACGACAGCGTTTTGCATTCATGTGTCCGTGTGATGCTGCTCCGTTAGTTTCACAGCCCTAACCTTAGTGAATCCAGATGAATTAAAATGCTGATGGAACCACACGACGCACATTTCTCACGAGACAGTGACGGTGAAAACACACCTAGAACGTGACCTCGCCATGAAGCGGTGACCTTTGTGTCTGTTGGTGACGTAACTGAAGATAAGTCTCTGATTCTGAGAAGACCAGCGTGAATCACTCCTCGTTCACTGAAATCAGAGACCGTTTAGTTCTCATCTGATTGTTTTGTTCTGCTAAGTTATGCTTACAAAGGAACCATTACTGACATTCACCTTCTGCTGCAGTTTCACCTTTGACCCCCATGCTGGCATCAACACAGCCACATTCAATCACTGGTTTGTATAATAAAACCAAATGAGGGGAAAAGCTAAAACCTTTTGAGATTCCTTCAAATATTAAACAAATTATTACATTTCCACTGATCAG